TTCCAACCCAAACTATTCTATGATTCTACATAGCACCTCTCTTAAATGCAGGACAGTAAAGGACTTTACATGCCTCTTGCAGGTTGGCTTCCAGCACCAGAGGAAGGTGATCACAGTGTTTTCACTGTAGTGCTCAGCTTCAAGACTTCACGTCGTTCCTCACAACTTGAAGGGGTATGAAGGCAATTGGAAAAGTGCTGTGCGCTACAGGGATCGTAGCTGGCCTTCTAGCTTTCCTCTGGAAAGATCCTTTTAACCCAGGTAGGCTCACCAGCGGGGTCATTCCAAACTGGAATATAAGTCACATAAGAGAAGAGCTTGACTTTCCAGACTCTTGACTGGTGGTCTCATTCCTGCCCATAGTCTTCCCAGAGCTGGTAAGCAACACTTAATTTCCAGAAATAATGAGAAGCTTGAAACAGGAAGAAGCCAGAAAGGTCTAGCAGCATTTACAAAGGATATTGATGACTATGTGGGGGAAAAAATGTCATGTACTTTGCCACTGCCTTTCTTTTTTTGTTTTGCTTGCAAACTCCTTAGGGTCACAAACATCTCTATAGATATGCAGTGCCCAGTACAAAAGGGCTGACATGCCTCCAAACTGATGGCAAAGAATAAATAATATGCAGAAGGCAGGAGGCCCAGAGCCTGGTTTATGTTGAACAGTTTTTCGTAATGTGAAAACCAACTTAATCCTTGAAAGATGCTTGTCTAGGGAGCCAGGCAAAGTGACACAGCTAGGTTGCGTAACCATGTCACTACTCCCTGGCAGTGACAGCCTCGGCATAATGTCCACAACAGAAAAGGCAGTAATAAAACAGTGCACCTCCTGGGCAGCTGGGCCTGGAGGTTGTTCTGTGGCAAACCGAGCCGTGCCAGTTGCACGCTTTTATCCATTTTCCAACTCCATGGAAGAATGCTGAGCTGAGGAGGAGGGATGGGAATGGTGAAGCAAGGCTTGGCTGTTTGGTTTCTAGCACGGCAGCTACTGTCTGAGTGAAGTGGGTCAGACTGAGCCTCCTGTTCCATGACTGAAGTATGAACCCGGGGGTTATCAGAACTGCCTGTTGTGTGTTAGTGGAACCAGGCCAAGCTGGGTGCCACGTTGTTGAGCTAGCCAAGCATTCCTGTGACCCAGGCTGAAACAGATCAGTGTGGCTGGCTGCTTGCCATGAGGTGGCTGGTAACTCACGTCTTTGCTGTGGACGCATGTCAGAAGGGAAAATAGCTTATTCTTTAAAGATGAGGTGATTTTTGATTATTTTCAGTCTTGCAAGAATTGGAAGGTGATGTTAATCTCATGGCTTCTTCAGGTCAGTCCTGCCTCTTCTAGTTTTGGAGAAGCATCAGGACTTCAGAGCACTTACACACACCTTTCTACTTTCGAGCTCTGCCAGTAGTTAAGGGCAGCTCCTCTGCTGCTTCCTTCACTTACTTCTATATCTTTTATTCTCTTTCCCATAAATAAGAGAGCTTGTCTGGTGCCCGCGTTCTCCTGACTGGGGCCAGTGCTGGGATTGGAGAACAGATGGCGTATCATTATGCCCGATTTGGTGCTGAAATTGTTTTGACTGCTAGGAGGGAAGCTGTGCTGCAGAAGGTAAGAACTTCCTTGTATGAAGAAAGATGAAAGACTTTTACCAGAAAACCCCAACAACAACAAATTAGTTGTCAGCATGATAAATTTTCCTTCGGAATTGTTGTTGAGCAGAACCAGCTTAGTTACTTTCTGAATTCTTTCCATTTACGCAGAAGGTTGGGACATGCCCCTGACAGGTTTTGAGCTTGATTTGCTGGCAGTGTCCTGTGCCATTCTTCTCTGTAACTGAGCTCCTGGATGGGCTACTTTGTGTCAACATACACCCCTGCCTGCAGCAGAATGCCTGCTTTTTTTCTTACCAGAAGGCAGTAACACAGCATAGTGGGGAGGTGTGACTCAGGAGGGAGCTTGGCCTGTACAGGAAGATGGATATACACGGCCTGAACTTTTTACTACTTGAACATTTACATGAGGAAATGGTATGGAGCTGTGTCAGGGGAAGTTCAGATCGGACATTAGGAAAAGGTTCTTCACTGAGAGGGTGGTCAGTCGCTGGCACAGGATCCCCAGGTAGAAGTGCTCACTTCCATGCCTGTCAGAGTTCGAGGAGCGTCTGCATAATGCTTTGAACCATATGGTTTAGAGTTAGGTAGTTCTGCAAGGAGCAGGGAGTTGGATCCTTATGGGTCCCTTCCAACTCGAGATATTCTATGAACTACTGAACTAGTTTCTGTGTAGCATTGTGCAGCTTTTCAGAGTGCAAGCAGTTCTATTTGTAGCTGTTTTGTTAAACACCCAAACCTTTTTGTAGTTAAATAATTTTTGAGCAGCTCAAATAGACAACTCCTTTAGCTGTAGTTTGTAAAATGCATGGTTTATAGAATATTTAGAGAAGGTATTTCAAACTGTGGGGATAGGTGACTTGCAAGAAAAGTTCTTCACTATGAAATGGCACAAGAGGAGAGTTGGGGACAGCAAACATAAAGATAGTTCCTAGTGCGTAGGAGGCATTGTTTCATCAGATAGCTAACTGTGTATCATCACAGGGCACCTAGCAAACATAGCTACTCAACATAGCAAAGGAACTGTGAAAGATGAATACTGCTAGAGCCTTAGCAGTTATTTCAGAACAAAAAGAACTTATTGTAAAGCATATTCCTTATTCCAGAAGAGTTCTCGTGAAGAAGACTGTATTTTTTGAGTGAATCTTGATCCTTTTCCAAGGTAGATTGAATCTGCATCCTGCTAAGACTTACCTGTATTTAACTGTCTGGTTAAGACAGATGTCTAGATGCAAAATGAGCTCTATGTGGACTGAAGAGCAGTAGATTTAAAATTAACGTGTGTCTCTGTCCAGAATTGACTCTCACTGACTGTAGTATAGGGGAAAAACCAGTGTCTTACAGTGCCCTTATTTGTGTTCTTTCCCCCCCACTCCATATTGTTTGATCTTTGGGTGTATGTTCTTTTTCAAGGTGGTGGAGAAATGCCTGACACTTGGAGCAAAGAAAATATTTTATATCCCTGCAGATTTGTCTTCCCCTTCAGAGCCTGAAAAGGTGGTTCAGTTTGCTGTCCAAAAGCTGGGTAAGCAGAAGAAAAATGAGACACTGAGGAGAGAGAGAAAACTTTGCTTCTCACCCCAGTTTATGCAATATTCCTTTTTTTCCAGAAAGTTTTAGATCACAGGCGGCCTGGTCACCCTTCAAAGATTATAGTTCTCCAGCTATGTCACGCTTCACACCAGCATGCAACTTTGTCACAACTGATCAGGGATAAGCCTGATGACACAGTTCCTATCCCAGCTCCTATGGCCCTGCCGATCTTGGCTCCTCTCTGATAACCCTGGAGTTGAAAGATGTGGGTTTCTGTAATTTACCTGAGTTTGAGAGGCTGTAAAAGGAGAGGTATCTATGGCTTGAAATTGCTAGGGAATTCCCTATGACTAGGGAGTCACTTGAAAGAGTCCAGCGCAGAGCCACTAAGATGATGGAGGGAGTGGAGCATCTCCCTTATGAGGAGCGGCTGAGGGAGCTGGGGCTCTTTAGCTTGGAGCAGAGGAGACTGAGGGGAGACCTCATTCATGTTTATAAATTTGTAAAGGGCGAGTGTCAGGAGGAAGGAGCCAGGCTCTGCTCTGTGATGTCCAATGCCAGGACAAGGGGCAATGGTACCAAGCTGGAGCACAGGAGGTTCAACCTGAACATGAGGAAAAGCCCTTTTACTGTGAGGGTGCCAGAGCATGGCCCAGGCTGCCCAGAGAGGTTGTGGAGTCTCCTTCTCTGCAGACATTCAAAACCCACCTGGCCGTGTTCCTGTGTGACCTGGTCTGGGTGATCCTGCTCTGGCAGGGGTTGGACTGGGGGAGCTTTTGAGGTCCCTTCCAACTCCTCATATTCTGTGATTCTGTGGATTTTCAGATGTTCACTGCTTGGCTGGTCAGAACCAGAGGAGCAGAGCAAGGAGAAGGGGTTCTGATTCCCATCTCAATTCTGTCTTCATCTCGGGCATCTCTTTGGCTTTCAGGAATATAGACAATTCTCATTCCAGTAGGAGCTTCCTGCTTCAGTTTCCCCATTTTCCTCACTGAGGGGGTTGTTTAGGTTGGGAGGGTGTGGCATTTGTAAATACTAATCTGGATGTAGCCATCTGTTTAGCTGCTTTTCATGGCGAATGCATGCCTTCTGCTAGGGGACAAAACTATTCAGAAGGTGCTGGCTCGCAGTACTTCACTAAAACCACACACCATAGCAACAGCTCTGGTAACTCACCTGTCACAGGGTACCACATGTACTCACATTTGCCATATGTGAGCGGGTTCCAGCTGCACACAGCCAACCCTGAACACAGTGCCTTGTGTTGAGAGAGACACAAACTGGGAGTTCTGTAAGCAGTGACTTGGCCCTGTAGCAAAGCTCAGTCCAAGACTATAGAGGGGAAGGTGGTCTTATTTTGACCAGAACTGATTTACAGCAGTCCCACTCTTATGCATTCAAATTCACTCATTCTTTAGTACTCAGAAGCAGCAAGATGGGTATGACCAAATACCTTGGCCAAGCCTACTTGTGGTGATTCAAAGGACAACAGTTGCCCATTGTTGAGTCCTTGCTGTGTCTCCTGGGTTCTTGGTTGGTGACCATGTTGCTGCTTTTTTGTGTCTTCCATCTTGTCTCATTTGGGTCACAGTGTCATTAGGCAGCAGTTTCTATTATACTCACTATCCTTTTGTCTGTTATTTGCCTTAATTACTTCATTATGCTCTTGTTCTTCCCGAAGTGGGTGTCTTAAGAAACCCTGTGTAATTGTGCTGTGATCTGAATGACCTGCCAGTCCAGCAGGCATCAGCTAAAATACCTTTCTTTTAAACCTTCTGCTGTTTCTGCTGATGCTTTTGCACATACACATTCCCATACCAATCATATTTTTTCTGATACATATTTGTGTACTTATAATTTTGAAAATAGAGCACTAGAGCTAAGTTCCAAGTCTGCATTACCCTGAAACATCATTTTGGAGAGCTGCCGTCAAAGAAGAACTGCATTCCTTCCAATTCTATCCTTGAAGAGCAGGCAAAGCTGCTCTCAGATGGACATATTTCATGTATCTCCATTGTAAAGCACTTTCTAGCATTCAGAGGGAGTGGCTGGTCAGCTCAGCCCTCCTGCTGGCACTTGTGAGTTCTTTGGTTACTGGTTAGGGAATGGGCCCTTTGTTGACTGCTTTGTTTGCCTATCTGCAGGGGGACTGGATTACTTGCTGTTAAACCACATTGGCGTGACCCGTTTCCAGATGTGGGCTGGAGATATGGAATACATTCGCTGGCTCATGCAGGTGAGGTTTCACAGCAGGAAGAGCTCACCTGGAATCGGGTGAGTCTGGCTTCTCCTGGGACAGCTTTGGAAAGCTTAAAGGCAAACTCGAGTCTATGGCAATGGATGAGAACAAACCTCTTATTTAATTTGTGTTTCAAGTGGGATGGTTTGGAAGCTTTTTTTCTAGGCAGGTGTTTTGCTCCGTTATTGTATATATGTGCAGAGGAACGTCTGGGAAGAACTTCACTTCTCTCCTTCCTTCTGTCCTTGTCTCCCATTAGCACAGGACTGGTAGGGATTGATGGGTAGTTACGGGCAGCTGTACAATGTATGTCTAGTTTAGGAAGGCATATAGGTGAGGAGCAAGCACTTCCTACTAATTTGTAGCTAGTGCACATGTCATTGTAAGGTTGTTTGAAGTGGTGTTTGTCATTTGAGTCTCTGCTCACGAATTCAGAGTTTTCCCATAGAATCACCTTGGTACCAGGTTTTAGGACCATGGAGATGAGGAGCTGTTTTCATGATTCAGTCTTCTTAGGCCAGGTGGCTCATATCATTTCTGTTTCATGCTGGAAGGAGCCTGTTTGCTGGAGAGTGAGGAACTTGAGGTCACAGCTAAGAAATTTCTTACAAGTTAGAGAGCAGTTAGAGAGCTCAGTCAAGAGAAACTTCAAAAGGGGGCAGACTGGGACACTACTGGTGTCCTTGTTGCTGAGTAGGGATTGTAGAGTAAAGAATGGCACAGAGAGAAATCAGGGACAGCTAATTGTCTCTTGTCAAGAAATTTGTATGTCAAAGCCCAGGAATAACCTTTGCTCTGACTCCTCTCCATTGGTTTTTCCAGAATCTGAGAGACTCATGGATGCAATGTTTGTCTCCACCCTCACAGAGATGGTTCTTTTCACTGGATTTGTTTTTTCAAACATCAAAACCATGCTCCTTTCCATTTCTGGCCACTGTGTTGGCTTTCTGGCTCATACTGACCTTCCCTCCAAACCCTCTTCCTTCTTCCATGTCTACTTGTATCATTCCAGGTGAATTTCTTCAGTTATGTGGCACTCGCAACAGCAGCTCTTCCCACCCTGGAGAAGAATAAAGGCTCTTTGGTGGTTGTTTCTTCCCTCGCAGGTTAATGCCTTTAACTGGCACAAGTGCTGACCTTGTAGAAAATGTGGTTCCCAGCACATCTTGTTTCTGTGCCTTTCAACCCCTCAACACATTTTTAAGCTGTGTGTTTTACAGTAGCAAGCAGGATGGTGGCTGGCTGGCCTTGTTTTCTAGAAGACCTTCTCTGTGTTGCACCATTTTGCATTCCCTTGGAACTTTGCTCTTCACTCACCATGTGCCCAGATCTCCTTGTTTGGCTCTCGTCCCTCACAGCCAGGCCCATCTCTCCCACATTTCTGACAGAACATTGAAACCATCCTGCCACTGTAAGGCCTTGTGGCTTTGGCCAGCCTGAACAGCTGGCTGCTGAGTGATTGCACCTACTGTACGGGATGGAAAGGCAGGAGAAAATCTTCGGTGTGTGTGCTCGAGGGAGCTGCATCACCATACACAAGTTCAGACTATGGCTTATCCCTGCCTTGTGATGTAACGTGCCTTGGTGTTGGGGCAACGTCCATGCCAGATGGATTGGCAAGTGACCCAGTCCATGTGTTTGCATATGATGGGCGAGGGGAAGGCTGCAGGTAGACCACCACACTGGGCTTTATAGCCCAGCATGTGACCTCATCACTCTGTGAGTTAAAAGAAATTTCCTCCCTTCACGCACATACGTGGTGGCTCTCGTGCTGGGATGTGCTCACACCAAGTGGTACAATTTTCTAAGCGCCTGCGTGAGACTAGAAATAGAGGGAAACTCACCTGAACAGAACATAGGTTGATGCAGGATGGCAAAGCCTCTCTGACTGGATTCCCTCTCCATCCTCCTCCCAGCCACTTTCCTGATGTTTTCCATTCTCTCCCTTTCCAGGGAAAATACCCACTCCCTTCACCACTTCCTATTCTGCCACAAAGTTTGCACTGGATGGATTCTTCAGCTCACTGCGCCATGAACTCATAATGCAGAAGAGAAATGTCTCTGTCACACTTTGCATCCTGGGCCTGATTGATACCGATGCGGCATTAGAAAATACAAGGTGTGTATTTGGAGGAGGGCGTAGGAGTCTGGGAGGGAATGTGGGTGTAGGAACATGTCTCTTCTTGAAAGCATGCAAAAAAGAAAAAGGATCTCAAGAGTGTTTAAGATAACGTGTGCATCTGTTTGGATGTGCAAGAAAACTAGTGGGAAGAGTGCATCTGCTGGGGTACGTCATGGGGGCTGCGCATGTCCACCTCAGCATGGAACATGAGCATGCAGAACCCTGTGGCAGTCAGTCTGCACAGTTAGCACCACATCGAGGATTGACTGGCTTTGAGTGATGCTCTGACTGTTTCCTTCCAGGGGCAAAGTGCACCTAACTGCTTCTCCTGCTCCTGAAGCTGCCCTTGCCATCATCCAGGGGGGTGCCATGCAGGTGCAGGAAGTTTTCTACCCATGGTGGCTGCAGTACGTGTGCTGCCTCTGGGTTTTGTTCCCCAGTGACCGGAATCAGGTTTTACAGAGTTACTTTAACTACAGCAGTCCTTAAGGGATGCCCAGTTTCAGTCTCCTCTCCCATGCCACATCCCTTCTAACCACATTCCCCTCGTCCCACTAAGCATCCTATTCAACCATTGGTGTCAAGCGGGAGCAGGGCAGCAGCAGTGGCAAACTAACCTTTGCTCTTTTCCCAGTCTCTTCTTGGTCACTCTCTCATCGTGCTTCAGCCACATTTCGATATTCCTACCCATCGGTCAGAGATCTTTCCCTCTGTCTTAGCCCTCCACCCATCTCCCCTCCTTCAGCCTCACCTGTCTGCTTCTGCTGCCTCCAGCCTTCTCTCAGCTCCAGCTTTAACCCCTGTCTGTACATTTCTGGGACATCCTGCTCCACTGCTTCAGTGTTTTGTGGACTCTGTGACCCTTCATGCTTCCTATGAATAGAATTTTAATCTAATTAAATTTTTTTAAAATGTGTTGGTGTTAAAAGTTGATGCTTCCTCTGCGAAGGATTGTCTAGAGGATGTAGAACTAAAATGGGGTGTGCAGAGCCTTCCCAACTGCAATCTTTTTTCAGTCATACCTGGTCTTCTCCAAGGAGAGATAAAAAGCAGGTTGAGGGGTACGTTCCAGCTGGTGAGAGGCAGCTTCCTGGGGAAGGGTCACTGCCTGCCCCCTCCATCCCCCCTGCTGCTTTGCTCGGTTGCCAGCGAGGTGCTAGACTACCTGCACTCCTGTTCTGAGCTGAATATAAAACCTTGTGTGTCTGCAAGAGACGTCACCGCAACTTGAGTTCCTGTTCTTGTTGTGGCAATGGTGCATGGCGCTTTTAGTCGCAAGTGTATTTTACTCACATCATAGGAACAGACACCAGCTGTTTTCCTTCCCGTCTCCTTGCCATTGACTGGGTTTTGACACAACAAAGCTTTCTGTGGAGCTGCATGGACATAAAAACTCACCACAATCATCAACACTGGACTTCAAACTTGCCCCTTCTAAAATGTGCTTTCTTCACATGGCAGTTTGCAGTGTACACCTTGTCCCAGTCACTGCAGAATTGTGTTGGTGCAGGGACAAGGCAGCATCAAAATTGGTCCTAGATTTTATTCTCTGCTCATGTTCTGCTTTTCTCTAGCACCATTAAATAGGGGTTTCAAAGCAGAAGAAAGTCCCAGGGAAACCGATGACTTTATAAAAGGGGGAGATGAACCATGGGCATAGCAAATGCAATTGATTCTCTATGAACCCCGGGTGTGCTTCACCTTCAGGGCAGAGATGAGGAGTCTGTGCATTTGCTTTCCCTTTTCCTGGTTCTGTGCATAGCACCAGGTGTGCTGGGCTCTGGCTCTCAATCGACTGATTTCCATCAGGGTGCTGTTGAGAGAACCAGCCTTGTTCTCTCACATGTGAGCAAAGTACACAAGAATTCTTTAAAGTTGCCTGGCATTTGTACACAAGAGCTGTGACTGGTTTGTGTTCAGCTCTTCCGGAGCTTGACTGCTGAACTCATTTGTTGCAGTTGGGCTGGTAACGACAAACTCACATCTTGGGGATCTCGTGCCTGAAGACTGGAATGAAATTCCACAGCCAGCCTTCTTGGAGACATAGCAACACTGTAGTGTTCAGAGCAAGGCAGGGTTGTGTTCTGTAGGACTCTGCTCTGCCATCCATCCCCTTGTGAAATGTCCTTTAACTGACTGCACAGGTGATGTGCTGACAGGAAACAAACTTCCCTTGCTTCAGGCCTTTGGTGGTTGTCTTCAAGTGTAAGCATTATCTAAAAGCAGGTGCCACTAACACATGACGTAAACACCCAGTTACTTAGCAAGTAAAACTTTTATTAAATAAAATTTAAGATTTTTTTTGACCAGAGTGAGGAATTTGACATTGATGAAGCTTGTATCGCGCCTGTAACATTGTACAGTCACATCAGCAACCGTGATGGAAGAAACTGTAAATGCTTGTTTTAAGCCACCTTGACCTACAATTTCCAAAGTCCTCTTTTTTTTTCCCATTTTGCATTTGTTGGTCTTTTTTTTTTGTTGTTGTTTTGTTCAAAATTAGATTAAGTTTAAACTTCATGAAATTACTTGTAGCAGAAATAAAGTACATTATACAAATCACGTACATAATAGATGTTAAGTATAAAAATGGTATTTACAATAAGTAAACATGGACTATAGAAACACACAGACTCACACAGCTTCATCCATCTCTCATAAACACGCAGCATCAGATACAGAGGGGTGGCTGAGGAGATGTGAAGGTACTTAAAGAACTGTGCCACAAACATCTGAACAAAGGGAAACTGGAGGAGGCTAAGAATTGGCTGAGGTTCTCTGAAATCCCCATATCTTGCTTCAACATCAATCGCATCAATCTTTCTCCACCAACCCTCTGTTCATGTTTGAACCCAGACAGACAGACACACACACGCCTTCTCAAACTCTAGAGCTCTCTAATCATTCTGAAGGTTTGTGGGGTTGGTTTGCTTGTTGTTTTTCTTTCCTTCCCTTACTTTGGTAGAAACTTAAAGAGACAGCTTCAAGTTATTAAAGAGATACGCCCTGTCACTATGACACCTTCTCACCTCCAGAGGATCTTTGTTAAATCAAGCTTCAAACTGTTATGTGCCTAAGTGTATGTGTATACAGCTGCATGGATATATACTGCATGATGTATAATCTGTCCCTTGGAGGGGGTGGTGGAGAAGAAAAAAAAACAAACCCAAAAATCCCAACAGAATGGCAGCCCTCTTTTCATCACACTGGCCTTGTGTCTACTTGGGAAAGCTTTGCAGAGGGTGTAAGAAGTGAGTCCTCTCGCTAAATTCAGATGGAGAAAATGTCCCGTTCCATCTGGGAATCGGAACTGCCCACTCACCAGTGTGAGGTTACTTCGGACACGGGGGGCAGTGTGTAGCCCCCGAGAGGCTTTTGTCACTGTTCTGGAGATTTCCTCTGCTCACACTCTCTCATCTTGTCTTGCCTTCATTAAAAAAAATGCTCTTGTTACCATGGAGAGCTATGGAACATGAATCTGTGCCACGTGTAGGG